GAAATAACAGCTATTACCTTTTATTATTATTTTTTATTGTGGTGAAACTATACATAAAACATACTGCAGCTCAACAATTTCTACATGTACAATTCAGTGATACTGATTACATTCTTCAAGTTGTGCAACCGTTCTCACTACCTTTTTCAAATCATTCCACCACCATTAATATAAACTCAATGCCCCCTAAGCAAAAACTCCCCCTTTCCCTCACTCCTGGTAACTAGTAATAATCTTTGGTTTCCATATATTTATTGAGAATTTAATATAAGTGAAATCATACATGTAAATGAGATCCTACAATATTTGTCCTTTTGCATATGACGTATTTCACTTAGCAGGATGTTTTCAAGGTTCGTTCATGTTGTGGCATGCCTCAGGACTTCATTTCTCCTTATGGCTGAGTAATATTCCATTGTGTGTATATACCACATTTTGTTTCTCCCTCCTTCTGTTAAAGGATCTCTAGGTTGTTTCCCCCTTTTGGCTCTTGTGAAAAGTACCGAAATGAACATGTCTTTTGACATATGTTCTTGTAAACATTGTTCTCATACATGCACATATTTTTGCACAAAAAGTGGGAGGTGGGGGATGGTTTGCATTTCAGATACTCACTCTGCAAGCAGGATTGTAGGATAGAAGAGGGCCAACAGCAACCCCTTGGAGGCCCACCAAGATTTAGAGGGAAGGCAGAGAAGGGCACCAGTGAGTTATGGTCAGAAAGTCAGAAGGAGAATGAAGAGAGAGGCCAGCGTGGTTCCCAGCTGGGACCCAGACAAGAGCTTACTGGCCACAGAGCAGATTCATAGCCACATTCAGGGCAGCACAGGCCTCATACAGTGCACGCTGAGGATGTGGCTGACGAGGTGCCAGTTCATCCAGGGCCTGCAGGGAGGCCCTCCTGCTGCCTCTCATGCCTCCCTTACTCCCCTCTGCAGGGTAACTCTGGCAACCCCCTCATCTGCCAAGTGAACAAGACATGGATCCAGGTGGGGTTGGTGAGTTGGGGCTTCAGCTGTGGCCGGTCCCGGTTGCCGAGCATCTACACCAGCACCTCCCACTTCACCCAATGGATCAAGAATCAGGTCTCCGACGTGAAGTTCTTCAGTCGGGCCAGCCCTGCCTTCTGGAGCCCGGTCTTCCTCACTGGTTACATTCTGCTGGTCTCTTTGGGTTCCCTGTGGCTCCTGTGAGCAGTGATTCCTGAGTGGTTACCCCTGAAGGCCGAGTCTCCCTCCTCTCTGTTCTGCCTTCAGGAGAAGTGGAGACCAGAGAGGCACAGAACATCAGGGCAAGGTGTCCTTGGGGGAGGGTCTCAGAGCCACTGTTTTCTCTGTTGTTCAATGAAGATGCTCTTGAACTCTGAGCCACTGAAGTTATCTTTCTTCTCAACTTTGGCCGAGCCCCTGAAATCTTTCAGATATGGCTCCTTCCCACCACCCGCCAAATAGGCCTGGCTGTCCTCTTAAGCTGAGCTTTCCCAGATAGGGACACCTGGATATAATCCTATGTCTGTCTGGCACTTACTGTGTGACCTTGGGAGATTGTTCTCTTCTTGGGTGGCAGTTCCTTTTCTGTAAAGAGGAGTTTGGACTCTGTGATTCCCAGTGTCTGCTTAGTCACCCCAGCATGTCAGCAATCCTCACGGTCCCTGTGGCCCTCCCATGGATCTCTGACACACACTTTCCCTAAGGCCCTCCTTTGAGGGTTGGCCTTATCCCAAGAAACTCATGATGACCAGATTGCAGACCCTCACTATGGACTGTGTTCCGGAGCCCCTGGGCATCTCCCAACCCCTCATATCCCCCTGAAAGGTCTGCAGAACCTGACCAGTTCTTCCTCCCTCCCTTCCCCAACCAATGTCCTGGCAGGGCTGGGGGATGTGGGGGGCAGGGCTCGCTTGGATGAACTGGTGTGGTGACTGCACTCTGAGCTCCTGAGCTGCCTTGGTGACCATCAGGTCAGACACTGGAGAGAGAGGACCGGCTGGCCCAAGCTAGCCCCACTGAGGGAGACAGCACCCCGCCTCCTGCTTGCATGTACCTTGGGGGCTCCTCACATCTGGTTGCCTCAGATTCCCAGCGGCCAGTCACCTTTGTCCCTCAGGTGCAATGGGTGCAATTCACTGCCTTCTCAGAGACTGGAGCACTGTATGGTCAGCCTGAGTGTCTTTCCCAAGACCACCAAAACCCAAAAACCAAACCGCAACCAAAAACAAACCAAACCTGTTGCTGTCGAGTTGATTCTGACTCACAGCGACCTTATAGGACAAAGCAGAACTGTCCCATAGGGTTTCCAAGGCTGTAAATCTTTATGGAAGCAGACTGCCACGTCTTTCTCCCGCAGAGTGGCTGGTGGGTTCAAATTGCCCACCTTTTGGTTAGCAGCCTAGAGCTTAACCACTGCGCCCCCAGGGCTCCTTCCCTCCCAAGACCAGGCCCTTGCAAAAGTTAGAGTGTCCTAGGTTGATTTACCTCTCACCTTATCTTTTATTAGGCTGGGATTTCCCAACACCTTTGAACCAAAGGTTCTTGCAGGAGTTCCCCACACTACTTTTAAAATGTATTATCCAACTGTGTCAGTGAACCATTGAAATGTTCTCAAAATTCCAGCCTGCACAATGGTTACCATCCCTCTTTCTCTGTGGATGGAAACCTCACCTTTTGCCATCTTTCCTAAGCAGATGGATCTGTGAGGGAGGGGGTGGGGATGGGGATTTGTTTAAAATTATGCAATTTTTAAACATTATTTAAAACGTTTTAATCTGCTTACTTTCAGTGCCCTAGGTCAAAGCCCCACTATAGTTACCAAGCTGGAGGGAAGGTGGGGCCACTTCCAGATCCTGGATGCCAGCCCAGAGGTTTGGCTCTCATCTCATCACAGGAGGGGCGACAGCATGAACCCCGCCAGGGCAATGGGCTGCCAGGGGTCGGGGGTGTGTGTACGGGAACTGGCCAAGAGGAGTGAGAGAAGGAAGGGCCAAGGAGGGCAGAGCTGTGGCCAGGAACAGGGTAGCCAGCAGGGCGCCATCAAGGCCAGATAGACATCTGTCCGGGAGGTGTAAGGGAGGTGAGTCACTAGGGGCATCCTCACCGGCCAGACACCAGGAATGCCACCAGGGGCAGCCACTGGGGGGCGCTCTCGCAGACTGGCGACGCGAAGCTCAGTCCCTGGCAACCACTGGGGGGCGCCGTCGGGGGCCCGGCACCAGGGGCGCCCTCTCGAGGGAGCACCGCGGCGCTCTGTCCCGGGATGGAGTCCTGGTTAAGGACACGGGCCCACGGGCAGGGTTCCCAGAGCCACCGGCCATCTGCCCCCTCCCATGTCTGTGCTGTTTTCCTGCTGCTGCTGCTGCTGCTCAGGCTCGTGGGTGAGCCCTGCCCCCTGCCCCCGCTCCCTCAGGCCCTCAACCTGCCCACCTCTGACTCGCTCTGTGTCCTTCCGCAGGTTGCTTGGGCGTAGGTGAAGCCTGGGGGGCAATGTCCACGGCCCCTAGGCCTCGTCTTCCGGGACAGGACCTATCCACCGATGATTCGGCCTCAACCACCCAGGCGTCGGCCTCAACTAGCCAGCCGTCCCCTCATAGTAACCACACATCAGACTTACTCCCCTGTGAGTACCCTGCACTGGGGGGAGGGGCGGGGCGTGGGGGGAGGGGAAGGGCGCAGGCGTCTTAAGGACCTTTGATCCCTGGGGCAGAAGACGGGAGGAAGTGGCGGGGATAGGGTGGAGATAGAAGAAATCTTCCTTCTCCAAGTGTTTATTGAGCACCTATTGTGGGCCAGGAAACCCCGGTGGCATAGTGGTTAAGAGCTACCGCTGCTAACTAAAAGGTTGGCAGTTCGAATCCACCAGGTGCTCCTTGGAAACTCTACGGGGCAGTTCAACTCTGTCCTATCCTATAGTGTCGCTATGAGTCGGAATCTGGGGGATTGTGGGCCACGCCCTGTTCCCACCTGGATCCTGGTGAGGCAGGAGGCAAGGGAAGTTGGAGGTGAAGGTGATGTGGGAGGAGCGGCCGGCAGCGCGTTCCGCCTCCGGAGCTGGCTCTGCCTTTGCAGAAGTGGGGGGTGTGGGGGGGAGCCCTCCGCCCTCCCAGGCCCTGCCCCAGGCGCTAACCTGGCTCCGTGCCGGGACCTCGCGGGTCTACAGGATCACTTTCAGAATCGGTGCTGTGTGAGCCTTCTCGTGGGAGTCTCCCAGGCACACCTGCACGACGTTCTCTTGAGCAGTGGCTTTCATACGTGCTTATCTGCGACCCACAGGAAGAAATACATCGTATCCTGGGACTCAGTGCACACAGTTTGTGGTTGTTCTTAGTTGCCTTCGAGTCGATTCTGACTCATGGCCACCCCATGTGTGCACACTAGAACTGCTCCTAGGGATTTCAAGGCTGTGACCTTTCAGAAGCAGATCGCCAGGCCTGTCTTCCCAGGCGCTTCTGGGTGGGTTTGAACCACCGACCTTTTTCTAGTAGTTTGAGTGCACACGATTTACTGCCACAGAAAGTCTCACAAACAGAACTCAAGCTCTGTGCTGTGTATGCTGATATTCCCTCACCTGTGGTATCCTTCACAAAAGCTGGTCGCGTCCCCTAAATTGATTTCACAACCCGCTAATCCATTTGGAAAACACCTCAGAGTGGGACTGCTGGGATGCTGGGTGTGGGCATCTTCAATTCTGAAACTGTGTTCCAAAGTGGCTGCACCAGTAGACAATCCCACCAGCAGTGGGAGAGCGTTCTGAGGCGACAATCGTCACCATCACACGGTATTGTAGACATTTAGTTTTTGCCAGTCGGATGGTGCGTGATTTGAGTCTGCGCTTTCCTGGGGACTAACGGGGCTGATCAGCTTCTATGTTCCTTCACCACTGGGGTTTCCTCCTTGCCATATGCCTGCCCATTTTTCTGTTGAGTCATTGACCTGAGCTGCCTAGAGAAGGGCGAGGGGTCTGCCTTGGTGGAAGTAGGGGGCACCTGACCACTGAGAAAGGAGAGGGAGGTGAGAGTGGAAACATACGGAAATGTGGATGCGTTTGTGCAGGGTCTGGTGGGAGCTGAGGGGGTGCTTGTCCAGGGTAGAAGGGCCAGTGGTGCATTGGGCTGGTCAGTTGGGGATGTTTGGGGCCAGGGTTTGGGAACAGGGATAAGGATACCTGGGCAGGGCTGGGCACCTGCTGAGGCCGGACACATGGCATCATTCCCTGTGGAAGAGGGGAAAAGGAGGACGATTGGGTGGGTGTGGCTGGAGGGGTGGGAGGTCAGGGCTGAGGGGAGGGGAAGGGATAGGGGGTGCAATGGGATATGGCTGGAAGGGCCCATCCCTCACCAAGCTCTTGCTTCCTCCTCAGCCTGCGGCTTCTCCTTTGAGCGGGATCCTACTCTCAGGGACCCGGTGGCCATGGCTAGGCGGTGGCCGTGGATGGTCAGCGTGCGGGCCAATGGCACTCACATCTGCGCGGGCACCCTCATTGCCTCCCAGTGGGTGCTGGTTGTGGCCCACTGCCTGATGAAGTGAGTCGGAGCCCAGGTGGGTGGCGGCGGGGCAGACAGGTGTGACATCCCATCCAGCTGGCCCATCAGCAGCAGCTGGGCCTTTTGTGGAGCACCACAGTCCGGCCCAGCCTCACCCAGCTCCTGCCCCTTAGTGATGTGCCCTCATTCCACACATAGGAAATGGAGGCTTGGAAGCCGTTTGTCCAGGCCTCCTTCCTCCTCTCCACAGGAAGAGGCCCTAGTTCTTTCATGCCACAGCCTATGCTCCCTCTTACTCATTTATTCATTCAACCCTCATTCATTCATTCTTTGGCACCCATTTGAGCCAGGCCCTGGACTGGGCACTGGGGGCAGAGAGGAGACAAGTCATTCCTCTCAGGTAGGTAGGGGAGACAGCCAAGAAGACGGAAGCTCACAGGGCAGTCTGGTTGGTGTGAGTACAAAGGAGTGGATGTGTCGATGTTCTGTGCCAGGGAAGTAGCTTGGGAGCAGCATGGATGCTGGCTGTGAGGGCTGACCAGTGGAGAAGCATGTTCCAGGCCTAAGGACTCAGAGGAGGATGACAAAAGAGGAGGCTGGAGAGCAGAGCTACGGCTGATTCCATGGGCCTCGACCACCTGCCAGGGGCAGCATGGGGTGCTGGAAAGAGTCTAGAGTTTAGAAGCAGAGAAAACTGGGTCTGGATAACAGCACCACTTCCTAGCTGTTTTGCGTTGAGCGGATCACTGGGCTTCTCTGAGCCTTGGTTTTCACCTCCATAACATGAGTGTTGTTGGGAGGTCCATACCATAGAGTGTGTGTGTGCAGGGCCCTCTTCACAGCTGTTGTGAGGAGGAGGCTCAGGTGGGGGATGGCCTGCTGGGATTTTCTCAGAGGGCAACAGTGGGGTGGAGGGCAGGGATTGGAGGCTGGGGCAGGGTGCCTGGAGACGACTGCAGACCACCCTTGGGATTCTTCTAGGCGTTGTTGTTGTTAGGTGCTGTTGAGTTGATTCCCACTCATAGCAACTCTATGCACGACAGAATGAAACACTGCCCGACCCTGCGCCATCCTCACAACGCTGGCTATGTTTGAGCCCATTGTTGCAATCCCTGTGTCAATCCATCTCATTGAGGCCCTTCCTCTTTTTCACTGACCTTCTACCTTATCAAGCATGATGTCTGTCTGAGTTATCTAGGGCTGCTATAACAGAAATACCACAAGTGGACGGCTTTAACAAAGAGAAATTTATTCTCTCACAGTCTAGTAGGCTAGAAATCCAAATTCAGGGTGTCAGCTGTAGGGGAAGGCTTTTGCTCTCTGTTGACCCTGGAGGAAGGTCTTTGTCATCCATCTTCCCCTGGCCTAGGAGCTTCTCCATGCAGGAATCCCCGGTCCAAAGGACACACTCTGCTCCCGGCACTGCTTTCTTGGTGGTATGAGGTTCCCCTGTCTCTCTGCTCACTTCTCTCTTCTTTCTCTTGTAAGATAAAAGGTGATGCAGGCCACACCCCAGGGAAACTCCCTTTACATTGGATCAGTGATGTGACCTTAGTAACACCCTAATCCTCTTTCGCATAGCCTAATCTTGCCTCATTAACCACAGGCAGAGATTAGGATTTATAACACAGGAAGATTACATCAATCACAAAATGGAGGACAACCATGCAATACTGGGAATCATGGCCTAACCAAGTTGACACATATTTTGGGGGGACACAATTCAATCCATTACATTCCACCCTTTGGCCCCCCAAAATTCATGTCCTTGCCACATGTAAAACATATTTACCCCATCGTATCATAGCAAAGTCTTAAATCAACTCCAGGTCCAAAATCCAAAAATTTCTCTTCATCTGTGAAATCTAGAATACAAATTATCTGCTTCCAAAGATACAATGGTGCAATAGACAGGCACAAGCTAGACATTTCCATCACAAACGAGAGAAATTAGAGGGAAAGAAGGTATAACAGGCACCAAGCAAGTCAGCAGAACATATTACATTAGCCATCAAGGCTTGAAAATAATCCTCTGCTGTCTGAGACAATTTACGCAATGGCCCTGCCCTCTAGACTCTAGGTATTGGTCACACTCCGAATTCTGAGTGGAGGCCCCTCGGCCCTCCATCTTCCAGGCCCACTGGGACAGCAACTCTGCTCCCTCAGCTTTAGGTGCACCCTTCTCCTAGTCCATGTGAGTGGCGACTCCACCCTTAGAAACACCAGAGGCCATGGCTTCACCGTTTGAGACCCCAGAGGTTGTGGCCATACCTTTTGAGACTGAGGCAGCTTGGCTTCCTGTGTTTCTTGTCTCTTCCTTCTGCTTCCTGGTTTCTTGGCCTGTCGGCCCTTTGGGCCTCACCGCCTGTGTCTGCCCTGCTGGGGCAAGTGTTCCAAAGCTCTGTAGCACCACCGATAAGTGCCTGGAGGCACCCCACTCCAGCAGTAAACTTTGACTCTCAGCTCTCTTGCTCCATGAGTTGGCAAGCCTAGCTCCACTGATAGTGCCTGGAGGCATCCCACTCCACCAGGAAGCCTCCTGCCAAAAGCACTCAGCTCTCTTGCTCCGTGAATTGGCTCCAGTGCTGTCTCACTCTGGTCTTCCAGTTCTGCTGCTGCCAGTTCTCTCCTGCTGCCGGTTCTCTGCCACTGCTGGTACTCTCCTCACTTCCTTCTGAGTCCTCACCAGAATTATCTGGTGTCCATAATTCCACCAACAGTCTCTTCAAGGCAACTGCTTCTACATTTTAGGTATCTGTTAGAGCAGCATCCCACTCCCGGTACCAAATTCTGTCTTAGTCATCTAGGGCTTCTATAACAGAAATACCACAAGTGGATAGCTTTAACAAAGAGAAATCTATTCTCCCACAGTTTGGGAGGCTAGCAGTCCAAAAATCAGACTGCCAACTTTAAGGGAAGGCTTTCTGTCTCTGTGGGCTCTGGAGGAAGGTCCTTGTCATCAATCTTCCCTTGGTCTGGGAGCTTCTCCGCACAGGAACTTCAGGTCCAAAGGATGTGCTGTGCTCCCAGCACTGCTTTCTTGGTTGTATGAGCATGTCTCTCTGCTTGCTTCTTTTTTTTATATCTCGGAAGAGATTGGCTTAAATTGTAGATTAATCTTGTAGATTGAGTTTACATAACTGCTGCTAATCCCATCTCATCAACATCATAGAGATAGGGTTTACAACACATAGGGAAATCATATGAGATGACAAGATGGTGGACAATCACACAATACTGGGAATCATGACCTAGCCAAGTTGACAGGTATTTTTTGGAGGCACAATTAAATCCATGACAATGTCCTTCTCCAGGGACTGGTCCCTCTTGATTAACATGTCCAAAGTACATGAGATGAAGTCTTGCCATCCTTGCTTCCAAGGAATGCTCTGGCTGTACTTCTTCCAAGACAGACTCGTTCATTCTTCTGGAAGTCCATGGTATATTCAATATTCTTTGCCAACACCATAATTTAAAGGTATCAGTTCTTCTTCAGTCTTTCTTATTTATTGTCCAGCTTTTGCATACATATGAGAAATTGAAAATATCATGGCTTGGGTCAGGTGAACCTTAGTCCTCAAACTGACATCTTTACTTTTTAACACTTTAAAGAGGTCTTTTGCAGCAGATTTGCCTAATTGCAATACATCTTTTGATTTCATGACTGCTGCTTCCATGGGCATTGATTAAGGATCCAAGTAAAATGAAATCCTTGTCTACTTCAGTATTTTCTCTGTTTATCATGATGTTGCTTATTGGTCCAGTTGTGAGGATTTTTTGTTTTCTTTATGTTAACGTGCAATCCATACTGAAGGCTGTAGTCTTTAATCTTCATCAGTAAGTGCTTCAAGCCCTCTTCACTTGCAGCAAGCAAGGTTGTGTCATCTGCATATTGCAGGTTGTTAATAAGTCTTCCACCAATCCTGATGCCCCCGTTCTTCTTCATATAGTCCAGCTTCTCCGATTATTTGCTCAGCATACAGATTGAAAAGTAGTGAAAGTATACAATCCCGACAGACACCTTTCCTGATTTTAAACCACACAATATCCTCTTGTTCTGTTCGAACAACTGCCTCTTGGTTTATGTACAGGGTCCGCATGAGTACAATGAAGTATTCTGGAATTCCCATTCTTTGCAATGTTATCCATAATTTGTTATGATCCACACAGTTGAATGCCTTTGTATAGTCAATAAAACACATATAAACATCTTTCTGGTATTCTTTGCTTTCAGCCAAGATCCATCTGACACCAGCAATGATATCCTTTATTCCACGTCCTCTTCTGAATCCGGCTTGAGTTTCTGGCAGTTCCCTGTTGATGTACTGCTGTAACCATTTTTGAATGATCTTCAGCAAAATTTTACTTGTGTGTAATATTAATGATATTGTTTGATAATTTGTATCACCTTTCTTTGGAATGGGCACAAATATGGATTTCTTCCAGTCAGTTGGACAGGTAACTAACTGTCTTCCAGATTTCTTGGCATAGATGAGTGAGCACCTCCAGCTCTGCATCCATTTGTTGAAACATCCTGGTTGGTATTCTGTCAATTCCTGGAGCCTTGTTTTTTTGCCAGTGCCTTCAGTGCAACTTGGAATTCTTCCTGCCATACCATTGGTTTTTGAGCATATGCTACCTCCTGAAATGGCTGAATGTCGACCAGTTCTTTTCGGTACAGTGACTCTGTGTATTCCTTCCATCTTGTTTTGATGCTTCTTGTGTTGTTCAGTATTTTGCCCATAGAATTCTTCAGTATTGCAACTCGAGGCTTGAATGTTTTCTTCAGTTCTTTCAGCTTGAGAAATGCTGAGCGTGTTCTTCCCTTTTGGTTTTCTAACTCCAGGTCTTTGCATATGTCATTATAATACTTTACTTTGTCTTCTCGAGCCACCCTTTGAAATTCTTCTGTTTAGCTCTTTTACTTTCTCATTTCTTCCATTTGCTTTAGCTACTCTATGTTCAAGAGCAAGTTTCAGAGTCTCTTCTGACATCCATTTTGGTCTTTTCTTTCTTTTTAATGACCTTTTGTTTTCTTCACGTATGATGTCCTTGATGTCATCCCACAATCCCTCTGGTCTTTGGTCATTAGTGTTCAATGCATTAAATCCAATTTTGAGATGGTCTCCAAATTCAGGTAGGATATACTCAAGGTCATATTTTTGTTCTGTGGACTTGTAGGCGTAACGTTGCCTATTCTGTGCTGGTGGGGAGCCCAGAAATGGATGAGCCAGCACAGCATGCCCGCAGTGTCCCAGTGGGCCAGGTCATCGTAAACCACAGGTTCCGGTCCCGGCGGTACTGGTCATGGGTGGGCCGGGCCCACAATGTCGGCCTCCTCAGGCTCCAGTCGACGCTCAAGTACAACAAGTATGTCTGGCCCATCTGCCTTCCTGGCTTGGACTTTGAGGTGAAGGACCATTCCATCTGCACTGTGACAGGCTGGGGACTCCCCAGGATTAATGGTGAGTCGGAAGCCTCCCAGGCTGGGTGGTGAGGGAGAGGACCTGGGTGTAGACTGGGGTACTATCATGGACAAACATTCTGAGACACCTTCCCCAAGGAGCCCACTGCCCCCTGGGTCTCTCTATTGGGGTCTCATCTTTGAGGCCTCCTTCTCCTTAAGGAGCTCAACAGTGGCTGACTCATGGCTGCTCGGGCCTCAGGGGATACCGATTGTCCCCAGGCCAGGGCATGTAAAGAGAACTTCCCTGAAGGAGTAATATCTTGCAGTCTAGACAAAACCCTGGGACCCCAGGGTACTCACAACCAGAAGCAGAATGTCCAGAGTGAGGGGAGCAGGGTTCTCTGTCTGTAAAAACTCCCAGAGGATCTCACATGGGTGGCTAGGGGCAGTCTGCACCCAAGGTTGGGAATCACTCAGGACCCACTCAGAGCTCTCCCACCCCTCCCACAAGTGGTCCTCAGTCCTGTGTCATCCCAATTTAGGAGCAAGGTTTAAAGAGCAAGTGTGTTCTCTTGGGCGTACCCAAGGGTCCATTTTCTGATGGGCCCCAGGGACATCCGCTCCCTTCAGGGAGCCCCCATTCCTTTTTCACAAGGGTGGTGCCCTTCCCTGTGCCTCAAGGAGCCAATTTATTCGCAACAGCCCACAGGGTTGCAGCCCAGGTAGGAGGCAGTGGGGTCAACTTTTCGTTATCCCTGCTGTGGCCTCTCTGGGGAATGGCTGGGAATGGTTTGAAGTCTTCAGTCCTCCAAGAGCTCAGGCCAGGGACAGAGACACACAGTGGGGAGGGGAGTAGGCAGTGCCTGGGCTGCATGGAGGGGACTTGGGAAAACTCAGAGGAGGAAGTGGCCTTTAGGAAGAGCTTGAAGAAGTGGAGGGATTTGGACCTGAGAGAGGTTTGGCAGGCATTCAAGATAGAAAGGATGACAGAAGCAAAGATACTAAGTAAGAATGGAGGAGATATTAAGGAGAAGCCCATTGAGCTCAGGGTGTTGGACTCTGCGGGAAGTGAGATTAGGGCCAGCAAGGCCAGATGGTGGGGCAGCCTTCTCTGGGGTCTCTGTATAGAGGGGCCCTTGGGAACAGGTGGTGGGCCGTGCTTGGGGAGGTCTCCATGGCTGCTGTGTAGCAAGTCATAGAGGCTGGAGGAGTTGAAAAGAGCAGAGGGAGGGTGGAAACAAGGCCTGTGGCAGTGGGCAGTAGCCAAGTGGCTAAGTCTGAACAAGGGCCCCTGTCCCACAGGTGTATGGCCCCAGTTCCGGTCCATTCAGGAGAAGGAAGTCACCATTCTGAACAACAATGAATGTGATCAATACTACCACCGGTTCTCCAAAATCCCTACTATGGTCCGGATCATCAACTCCCATATGCTTTGTGCAGAGGACACCGATAGAGATAATTTCTGCTATGTGAGCCCCTCTCCCCCAGTTCACTCACCTCCAGTGCACCTGGCCAGGAGTGGGAGGAGGGATGCCGGGGAGGCAGGATCTGAGGGCTGCAGGGAGGACAAGGAGAGGGAGGGATTGGAGAGGGCATGAGTGGGGATGAGCAAGGGGAACATGGGAAGATGGGGGAAAAGAGAGATGGGGGTAGGGATGGAGGTTGAAGGTGAGAGATAGCAATGGGGGTGGGAGTTGGAAGGCGGATGTTAGAGAGCTGGGGTTGGAGGCTTGGTATGGGAGAGACGGGGGATAAAGCAAGCCCTTTGAGGAAGGTCTTCTGGGTCTGGGCCTCGAGGCCCCCCTCAGCTATGTTGATGCTGGAGGGCTTTGGAGAAGATGGGGTGTGAGGGCCACTTGCTTGTCCCTGAGCTGGGTCAGGTATCCCTCAGGCCACACCTGGTCTCCCTGACCCTGTTTGCCTATCCTTTCCCCAACAGGAGAAGAGCGGCGAACCCTTGGCCTGCCCTTTGGAGAGCACGTGGTACCTGGTGGGAATGGTGAGCTGGGGCCCAGGCTGCAAGAAGGGCGATGCTCCACCCATATACCTTCAAGTCTCCGCCTACCAACAGTGGATCTCGGCCCGCCTCAACGGGCAGTCCCGGACCCTGCCAGCCCTATGCAGGGCCCTGCTTTTGGCACTCCTGCTGCCCCGCAGCTTCCTGGCCGCTCTCTGATGCTCTGCGTGCTGTCCCTGGGAGCACCCTCTTTCACCCAGACCCTCCTCGCCCTCACAGCCCTGCAAGGCAGGGCAGAGACTAGGCGCTCAATTAAATGCTTCTCTTCCCCATGCTTCCTTCTTCCTGGGCCTCAGAGGCCCCTTGCTTTGTGGACCTGCTCTAGTGGGAGAAGGGTAAGCCCAAGGCAGGTGGGACGGGGGAGTCCAGCCAGTATATGCTGAAAACTGCAGAACCCCCAAGGATCTGCCTTCCTCCAAAGGTTTGAGTGGCTCTCTTGGAAGGTGGAGGGAGCATGAAGGGGTCTCATGATGCAGGGCCCAGAATGTACTGCCCAGACTGAAGCTGGGGTGGCCAGGGCAGACCTTGAGGCTGGGGTGAGGGTCACAGCTCTGTCTGGGCCTGGGAGGTGAATGTGTTTTCTGTGATACTCTAATGGGAGTCAGGCTCTTCTTGACTTTGTTCTGCCTCCTGGCCAGTGGCTAGAGCACACCCTGTCATTGCCCCAGGAGTGCCACAGAGAACCACAGCTTTGACTGTCCAGCCTTGCCCCCTGCTTGGAGGCTGGGGGAAGTGATCATTGGGGTCAGCCATCATCCCCACCATCAGCAGCCATGCCTGCCCATGAAGGACTAGTGGAGGCCCCAGGTCAGAGGTCAGGGAGCTGCCAGAGCGGATGAAGCCCAGGCTTGGACTTCCCCCAGGTTCCACCCCTGCCTGTCTGTATGACTCTCTGGGTTTCTGCTGCCTGGCCACATAGGAGGGCGCTGGCCTTTATGGGGGGAATGACCTTGCTACAACCCTACATATGAGATGTACATAGGCGGAACCTGATGGCAGAAGTCAGCCAGCTCTTCCCACCTGGTGGTGGTGTACTCAGCTTCTAGCAGGGCCTTCTGCAATCTCTCTGCTCCCAAGACCCTGGGGTCCCCCTTCTGTCAGCCTGGATCCCTCTCCTTGTATAATAATGGTCTGGATCCAGGCTTTACTCCTCTGTGTTTCCAGCACCGGGGTCAGATCGTCCAAACAAAACAAAAAACCAACCCGTTGCTGTTGAGTCAACTCCAACTGAAGGCAACCCCATGTGCTACAGGGTAGAACTACTCCATAGGGCTTTCTTGTTTGTAATCTTTATGGAAGCAGATCGCCAGACCTTTTTTCTGTGGCACCACGGGATGGGTTTGAACCGCCAACCTTTAGAATAGTAGTTGAAGGCCTATTGAAAGCCATGGTGTGGAGCAGAGGCGATTCGAGAGCAGCCTTATCAATCCAGTACCCGGTAGAGCACACAGCTTCTTCCCCAGTCCTGATGCCTTGCCTCTGACAAGGGCTAAGGTGGCTTTAGCCGCCCCTCAGCCCCTTGGCCACTTACTCTCTCTCGAGCGCACCCTAATTCAGGCCACAGCCTGGCCTGAGCCACCTGTTACCAACATCCCCTTCCACATAAGTGCTTCAGAGATGGAACTTCCTGGGGAGTCATGTCAGGAGGCAGTTTTCTGTGCGTGGGTCGGAGAAGGCACTCAGCTTTATTTACAAATCCCTGCAGGCTGCAGAGGCGGCGAGAGCTTTCTCAGCAGCCTCCCCCAGCTCGGAAACCTTCCTTGATGTCTCCTCGGTCTCCAGGCCCTGGTCTGAGTGCCTCAGCCTGTCATTCGATGCCATGATGGTGGGGGATGAGGTGGGAGTGTTGGGTCTCTGCGTCTACTCTCCCCAAGGATTCAGCCACCATGCGGTTGTTTGGCCTTTGCCTTCAGATCAGCATTGCTTCTATTAAGCCCCCGTAGGAGAAAGTGGTAGAAGAGGAAGCTGTGTGCCGTTACATTCAGCAGGCGGAAGGCTGGTTGCCATGTCAACCCCAAGCCGCCCCTTGCCGTGACCACCTAGGTCCCTGAAACCTTCCTTCACAGGTGGGCATAGAAAGGGCCACCCAGAACAGCCTGAGGCCCCCTCAGGTTCTTAAATATTTCCTGGACTCCTAAGGACAGTCGCCAGGCCCCAGCTTTCTCCCCTCCTCCCACTGGCCTCAGCCCTCTGCTGACACACCCTGCAGCCTCCAGCCCTGAGCCCTGGTCTTCGTGGCAGGCCTCCCAGCAGCCTCGGCTCCAGCACAACATGGACACTAGAAGAGTGCCCTGATGCTTTGAGCTTGGTATCTGCTGGGCTGGGGTTCCTCTTTCTCTGGCGTCACCTCTGCTCAGTCCTCTGAGCCAGCCCCCTGCCAGGCTCGGGGCAGACCCTTCACCATCAGGGCTGCAACCTGGCTGAGTCTGAGAACCTCCTGCTGCCCCAACTTCCCTCAGCAACCCCTCTCCCCGCTCATAGCCAGTCTGGGTGTGGCCTCCCCATAACCCATCCAGTCAGCCATCCTCTTCCAGAGAGGGAGCCTCACATCCCACTACTCCTTCACAGCCACTGCTGTTCCTTGCAGAAGGGGTGGGACAGAGGCATGTCTGGGGTGGGGGAGAGCAGTGCGAGGAAACTCCACATCTGCAGAGGGACGTGGCCCCTGACCAATGTTGCCAAGGAGGGCAAGGCCACGCGGATGGGTGCAAGGAGCAGAGTCGGGCTGGGAGACAGGACACCTGGTGTAGTCTTGTCCCTGCCCTCGATAGGCCATGACAACTTGGCCTTAGGCCTTAGCTTCCCCTCTGAGCAGGGAGTGGATGTTCTGCAACCTCTGTGGTCCATGTCTGAGCTCAGAGTCCAAGATGCCTGGACCCTGGCCAGGGCTTGAGCCTGAGGGCCTGCCAGCCCCAGCTGCCATCTCCAGGAAGCCCTCCTCATTTCTCCCCTTTCTTTTTCTTGGCCTCATTCTTCTCATCCTCCTCTACCTTGATGGCCACTGTGTCCACGCTGTCCTTCTTCTTCTTCTTCTTATCCTCTGTGGGGTAAGGGAAAGAGGCCGTGTGGTAGGGGTGAGACAAGGTCCCGGGGCCCGGGGGCCTCAGGAGACGGTGGCACCAGAGCCTCCCGCAGCCTGTCCTTCTTCCAAACCTGTCCTACCTGGAGAGCAGGTGCTTTGTTTTACCTGCCTCATTCTGACCAATCTCTGTGCTCTGGTCTCCCAGGGCAGAGCCAGGGCCCCTCCCTAACCTGCTGTGGGTGGAGGGAAGGAATGGGGCAACTCTGGGCAGTGGGACTGAGGAACTGGCTGGCTCAGCAGGGTCCGATGGCGGCTGGGGTTGGGGCTGGGCTTCCTCACCTCCAGGGATTTCTGTGAGCTCGTTGAGGGGCGGCACAGTCTCCAGCTTGTCTGTGTACATCTTGGCAGCCTTCCGCTGCAGGTACCGGGCTTCAATCTCCTTCCGGGTCCGTGGCACACGACAGTTGAAGACGCAGCAGAGGGTGATAACTATAGGAAGGACAGAGCAGGCTTGGCTGGGCGCCGGGCCTCAAGACACCCCAGGAATGACACCTGAGCTTCATGCCTACTTCCATCCACCTCTGTGTCTCGGCCAAGAGACTGGCAGGAGGCACAGCATCCAAGGTGTCTCTCCTGAGCAGGGCTGGCTTCCTGCTTAGAAGGGCTTGTTTTTGATTTAACACTCTGCTGTCGCTATCTTACAATTCTTAATTTTCGAACAAGGAGCCTCGTATTTTCATTTTGCACTCAAAAATTATGTAGCCAGTCCTGTTCCTGGGGGTGTTTCTGACTACAGTTTCTGACTAGATAGAGAGTTCCTGGAGGGCAGGGAATGGAGCTGCCTCTTGACTCAAGCTACAGCTTCCTAGAGGCCCCTGTGCTTTGAACGTAGGCCTCTGGGCTCCCAGCGCATGCTAGTTTTTCCTCCCAGACTCCTGAGAGCAGGGCCAGAGCCGCCCCACACACCAAAGTACGTGGCTGTGTTCTCCTCAGCCTCCCTGAGGACAAGCCTGGCCGCCTCCTGGCTGGGCAGAGAGCTGGTGAGAGGGCACAGACGCTGTCCTGGGCGTTCACCTCGGAGGGAGTTATTCCAGGATCGGCTTTCCAACCAAAGACAGCTGTGCCCATGCCAGCTGGGCCAGGGCATGGAGCTGGCCTCTAGTGATGGGCAGGGCAGGGCTGCCAGGGCCTGGCTGGACCTAGTTTATTTTTCTAAGGCCCTCACAGTCTAACCACCTTGGCCCCAGCCCCAGGGGAGGGGATGGAGCTGGTTCCTATTATAAATCAGATGACCAGACATAACTTCCTGGCAGGCTCCTGGGGGCAGGAGGGCCCAGGCAGGGCAAGCCAGGACTATTTTGGGGAGGATGACTTAGACCTAAGTAGCCTGGGCTGGAGCAACCTCTGGGGTCATCTTGTGCAACTCTCTGCCTCAAGGCACAACAGTGCCCCCTTCAACCAAATATTGTGGCCCCATTGGGTCTCCCTCAGACACACAGAATGAAAGAAAAAAATGAATGAATGAGCAAATTAATGGATGGAATGGTCTTGGAGCCTTAGCTGCTGAGAACAGGACTGGATTCCTGAATGCATGGATGGGGGAGCCAACAGCATGCGGGCATGCTCTGGGGGGCTGCCCGGGGCTGGCCGTAGATCTGACAGCGCACCACTGTCCGGGGGTAGATGTGAGCAAACAGCAGGCCCTTCTTACCTGAAGAGTTGGGTTCTGGTCTTCTCCAGACCCTTATGTACATGCCCCAGGCCCAAGGTCGGTTCCCCACCCTGACCCTGCTTGCTGGGCCCCCTCTCCCAGCCACCTCACCAGGCACCTCCTCGGGCCCACGCCCACTCAGGCTCTCCTTGCAGGAGGCAGGAGCTTCAGACTTCAAAAGGAGTTCAGCAGGCAGCTGCTGGCAACCAGAGCAGGGCTCACACTCCAGCCTGCCCCTCCCAGCCTGGCCTCAAAGAAGGGGAGAAACAAAGTGCCTCAGAGCAAGTTTCGGGGCCCAGGCAGGGGCTTGAAATGTGAGGTCCCTGGAGGCACCCCCTCCAGCCCCTCTCTCCAAGGGGCTCTGGTGGATGTCCATGAACAGCCCCACCACCCAGGCCCCAGCTGACAGGCAGCAGGAAAGATCTGTGTCCTCCCCAGGAGATGGGGGCCGGGCCACTCGGACTT